CTGATGATGATGACGATGATGATGATGATGATGATGATGATGATGATGATGATGATGATGATGATGATGGTGGTGATGATGATGATCATGATGATGATGATGATGATGATGATGATGATGATGATGATGATGATGATGATGATGATGATGATGATGATGATGATGATGATGAGCCCCAGAAGCGCCACGAGGACCGCTTGTCGCGATCCGCGGGCTGGGCTGGAGAGGTGCTCTTATCTCCGGACTCCCGAGGAGGAAACGGTGCCGGATCCCGCTGCCGTGGGCGCGCTTTCCCCACTTCCTTGGGAATCCCGGGAGGCCCTCGGCGCCACCGCTGGATTCGCCCGGAAATCCTGGTCAGAACGCACCCCGGGAGGTCAGGGGAGCCAGCGGTATCGGTACCCTCTCGGCTTCCCCGGGAGGGGAGGGGCGCGAGGGCGCGAAGGCCGTCGCGCCGCGCACGGCGCGCACGGCGCGGAGGTGCGCTCGGCGTTGGCCAGGTGGCGGGCGAGGTGTTGCCGCTGGCCCGCTCGGGACCTGCTGGCCTCACACCTGGGGGACACCGCGGGGGCGGTCGCTCATCACCAGCCACCAAGCCACCCCAACCCAACCCGAAGGCCCAAATTTGCCCGCGGTTTTCCAGTGGGGGGGCGTCGGGGAGCATCGAGAGACACACCTGGAGCCCGTACCCCCCCCAACCCGAAATTCGGGTCAGACTCGGATCTTCGGGCTGGGCTGGGGTGGTCTGGTAGGTGGCCAGTTCAGGAGCATGCCCAGAAGTTTCAGACCCCGGAGGGTTCCGTATCTGATGGGGAGGCGGCGCTGTCCACGGCCAGGCCTCGGCTGGTGGTCCACCAGCTGCCAGACCCTGGGCTCCCATACCCTCACCGTAGCGTGCACCGAAGCAGCCCTGGCAGGGGAGTGGCGTGCACAGAAGGGGCCTCTCGGGGGATCGCCTCCAGGGATGGCGTGCTAGTCGGAGCTCGATGTGAACCGCTACTCCAGATTTCGTAAGAAAAGGGAGGGGGTCTGGACCCTCCAAGACAAGCCATTTCAGACCTCCCCCGTGGGAGAACCCTCCAAAATATCGTCCCCAGACCCCCCAGGCCCTCCAAGATAGCCTGGAAGAGACCCCCCCCGAAATGAGACCCCCCTCCCTTTATTACGAAATCTGGAGTATCTTTCCAACGCTAGCCGTCAGTGACCCGAGCATGGCCGAGGAGCCACATGTGTTGGTTTGTCGTATGTTCTGCTGATCCCTTGGCCATCTCGGGCGCCCTTGACAGGGGTACGCCGCTGCGGAGCCCCCCCCCCTGGCAACCGACCGTACTTGCGGCTCATTCTGGCCCCGCCTTTCGAACGTCAACGATCGACTGCATATAGGTTGTCGCATCTTCTGTGGCTGTCGGGCCACTTCGGGCGCTCTCGACAGGGGTGCGCCACTGTGGATCCCCCCCCCGCCCCTGCCAGACGCCCCGTGGCCCTTTTATGTATGTGCGTCGAGAAGAATCTGCGGTTTAGTCTCGAGCACTGGGATCCTCACGGATCGTTTGGAATCGAACAGCCACACGTTCAGATGGGCCCGTGGGATTTGGTGGACTTGATTTCGCGGCGTCGCTTTTCCCACGGCGTTCCGCGTCGGGAGTGCACTTGATTGCTAGTGCTCGGTATGGAGAACTGGCAACACAAGACTCGGAGAGGGGGGCCGCACTCTACATTCGACCCCGCCCCCCTCTCCCTGCCCGTCGCACTCGAGCAGCCAGCGTTTCCATCGTCATCCTTGCCCTCCGTCTCCTCCGCCTGCCTTTCCCTTCTGCCTCGTCCGGGATCAAGCCGCCCCTGGCGCGTCTGGCAGTTTGGCTTTGCCCTGCTCCGACAAGGGCCCCCCTCCTCCACCTCCTCCTCCACCTCCTCCTCCTCCTCCTCCTCGTCGCCCTCCTCCTGTCGATGCCCGCGCCTCTTTTCCTCGTCCGCTTGGCTCGTCCCTCCCCCCTCTCCCAGCGAAGGTTCGCTGAAGCCCGACGCCTGTCCCTGGCAGCATCCCTGAAGTGGGGGGTTTCACCGAAGGGCTTATGCGACCCGTTCTCCTCCTCCTCATCCCTCTCCTCCTTCTCCTCCTCCTCCTCCTCCGTCTCCTCCTCCTCCTCCTCCTCCTGCTCCTCCGTCTCCTCCTCCCCCTCCACCTTCTCCACCTCCTCCTCCTCCTCCTCCTCCTCCTCCTCCCTCCTCCTCCTTCTCCTCCTCCTCATCATCATCATCCTCCTCCTCCTCCCTCCTCCTCCTCCTCCTCCTCCTCCTCCTCCTCCTCCTCCTCCCCTCCGTCCCCCTCCACCTCCTCCTCCTATTCCTCCTCCTCCTCCTCCTTCCCCTCCTCCTCCTCCTCCTTCTCCTCCTCCTCCTTCTCCTCCTCCCTCCTCCTCCTTCTCCTCCGCATCCTCCTCCTCCGTCTTTCCCTCTCCCTCCCCCTCCTCCACGTCCTCCTCTTCATCGGATCGCCCACGGCCCATGGGGAAGCCGTGCACATTCCTGAAGCGGGCCATCGCGCGGGCCGCTTGGTATCGTTCGGCCTCCGTCTGGAAGCGAGGGTGGTCCAAATGGGGAGGTCGGGAGCGAGGTCAGCGAGGCAGGTGGGGTGTGGTCCAGGGCTTCTGGCCGAGCTTGCATGCTTTACGACGTTGCAGTTTTTTGCTCCGGGGCGCCGGATCTCAGGGCGGTGGGGTTTTCCCGACGCGAGCCTGTCTGGGACTGGCCCTCGGGCGGGCGGCGAGGGCGTTCGTTAAGGAGTGTACCCAGGAGGCTGCAAATCCTGGAGGGTTCCTTACCCAACGAGGGCGGCCGTGACATCCACGGCCAAGCCTCAATTGGACTTCCAATGGCTTTCAGACCCTGGGTTCTTTACCCCGTGGTTCCTTCTCCACGGCCCGCATCGTCATGTTCGGGTCCCGTCTAGAAGCGCGGGTGGTCAAACGCGAGTTAGGGTCGTGTGCCTCTTGGCCTCCGCAGAGGGCCGCTGAAGATCGGTGCCCAGGCCCCTCCCCTGGGGCCCATCTGGTGCAGTTCTTCACCCTGTGCGGTCCTGGGGCCCGAAGACGGCACCTCCAGAGGCAGAACATAACAAAGGAACACATGTCCTCGAACACACAGGCTCCTTCAGGCGGCGTCTGGAAGAAAAGTACAAGATGGCCAACACGAAGCAACCATTGACAAGGGAGCGCACCACAAATCGCCACCACTCTTCTTGACGACTCCTCCTCTGTAGAGGGACATGCCCGACTCCAGCCTCGCAGCCTCGCCCCCCCCCCCCCCCCGGGCGGGGTGGCCGCCGCAGCAGAGGGCCCAGCGTGCCCGCCGGCCCAAAGCCGGGGCGCCGCGCGCCCCCCTCGGCGCGGCGGCGGCGCCCGGCCGCCCGCCGCCGGCCGCCGTCCGCGCGAGGGCCTGCCGAGCGGGAGGGGCGGAGGGGCGCGGGGGCCTGCCCGCGGGGCGCCGCGTCGGGGGCCGCCGGTGCCCGCCGCCGCCGCCGCCGCCGCCGCCGCCGCCATTGTCGTCGTCGTCGTCGTCGTTGTCGTCGCTGCCGCCGCCGCCGCCGCCGTCGCCGCCGTCGCCGTGGCGGCAAGGCGTGGGGAAGCGGGGAGCAGGAGGGTATAGCCGAAAAGGGGCCCAGTGCAGAGTCGGCTGGGGGCGTGAGGTGGCCCAGCACTGGCTCCGGCAAGGGAGCGAGGTCCGAGGCTCTGGGTTCGAGGATGCCTTTTGCCTTTTCCTGCCTCCGGTCGGCTTCTGGTCAGCCTCATGCCCCCTGTCCTTCTGGCTCCATTCTCCTCGGTCTTCTACGTACCCTCCTCGTAATGTCCGGAAAATCCCAGTGTCATCCTGTCCTTCCACTCACATCATACCCCTATCGTCGCCGTCGTCGTCGTCGTCGAGTCGTCGTCGTCGTCGTCGTCGTCGTCGTCGTCGTCGTCGTCGTCGTTGTCCACCTCCTCCCTCTCCTCCTCCTCCTCCTCCTCCTCCTCCTCCTCCTCCTCCTCCTCCTCCTCCTCCTCCTGCTCCTCCTCCTACCCCCATCCCCCTATCTGGATCCCTTTGTCGTATTCCTCATCCTCCTGCTCCGTCTTCTGCACCTCCTCCTCTTCCTCCTTCTCCTCTGCCTCTCCTCTTGATTCTTCTCCTCTGATCTTCCCCTTGCGATCTCCGATCTCCTCTATCATCCCTTTCCTCTCTTGATCCCGTGATTTCCGTGTTGTTCTGTTTCTCTTTCTCTTTTCCTCCCCTGTTCTCTCCTCCCTCTTCCTCCCCCCTCCATCCTCTCCCCCGCCGTCCCCTCATCCTCAGCCCCTGTCCCCACCCTCCTCCTCCTTCAGACGTTGCCCTTCCCACCTCTTCCGGCAGCGCACGAGGAGGCACGGTCCCGTGCCGTCGGTATAACCGCTTGCGCGTTGCAGTCGAGGCCACCGCAGGAGTTTACACGGCAGTCGCCAGGCTGGCGCAGCTGGCCGTGGCTGCTTTCTCCTCCCGTCCTCCAGTGGTGTCTGCGCTCTCGGCGCCGTCTCGTGTGATGTTCCCGACTTGCCCGGCGGTCTTCAGACTCACGTCGTTGAGCAACGTGCGCGCTGGCCTGCTGGTGAATGAGAAGCCCAGCCCTCGCCCACCCCCAACCGCCGCCGCCGCCGTCGCCGCCGTCGTCGTCGTCGTCGTCGCCGCCGTCGTCGTCGTCGTCGTCGTCGTCGTCGTCGTCGTCGTCCTCGTCGTCGCCGTCGTCGTCGTCGTCCTCGTCGTCGCCGTCGTCGTCGCCGTCGTCGTCGTCGACGTCCTCGTCGTCGTCCTCGTCGTCGTCGTCGTCGTCGGGCCGTCGGCCGCCGGCCGTCGGCGCGGCCGTCGGCACGGCTGGGGCGGCCCTCCTCGGCGGCCGCGCCGCCCGTGGCGGGCCCTCTGCGGGGCGCCGCCAGGGCGCGCCCCTGCCCGCGGCCCGCCCCGCCGCCCGCCCGCGGGCCGCTGCGCCGAGGATGGAGGCCCCCCCGCGCGCGAACGGCCGCCGCCGCCGCCGGGGCGTCCTCGGCGTTCGGGCTGCGGAGGCCCTCCAGGGGCGTCCCGAGCCCCCTCCGGAGGAGGCCAGGTGCGAGCCCTGCCCCCCAGCACCCCACGGTCTCTGAGGGGTCGCTCGGGAGGCCCCGAAGGAGGTGAGCCCCACTACCCCCCCCTTAGAATTCGTGGAGGGGTGGGGTAGGGTTCGCATGTGGCCCCCCACCTTCGGACCCAGAATGGCGGCTCGCGTCGTGAAGCATGCGCGGTGGGAGGTTCGTGGCCGCTTTCTGCCGCGGGGTGCCCTCGCCAGGTCCCGGGAGCAGTCAGGCGACGGCTCGGGACGAAGAACGGGCTTTTGGGAAAGCATTGGGAGTTTCAGGGGCGCCGTATGGAAAGTATCAGGACATCGCATGTCTGGGTCTGGGGTCCTTCGGATGTCCTCAGGGGACATTCGAGGCCCTCATGGGGCCCTTCTGAAGCCTTCTTGAGGGTCCTCGGAGGCGCTTCTGGGGGTTGGTGGGGGGCTCTCGGGTGTCGTCGGAGGTTTTCGGAGGTCGTCGGGGGGCTTCGCAGGTCGTTGGAGATCTTCGGAGGTGGTCTGGTGTCTGCGGCTGTTCTCCGAGGTCTTCGGGGGCCTGAAGGGGATTGTAGCAGATCGTCGGGGTCCTGGTTTTTGTTCGTATCCCCTCGGATGCTCCCTGGGGTCTTCGCGGGTCTTCAGGGGTATACGGGGATTCTTTGACATGCTCAACGTCCTCAGTTGTTCCTTAAGTAGGCTTGCCGAATGGCTTCGTACTCGGTTAAAGGTTGGTGCCTCAGGGGGCTACTTTGCCCGTTCTCCAGAGATTCATTGGGTCCCCCAGGTTGCTCGCCCGCGGCACCTCCGATTCTTACATTGCCCGTTGCCCAGAGGTTCCCTGGGTTCCCCGGGTGCTTCATGCCAAGCACTGCCAAGCAATACCAAGCTATGCCAAGCTATGCCAAGCCATGCGAAGCACTGCCAAGCAATGCCAAGCCCTGCTAAGCAATGCCACGCAATGCCAAGCACTGCGCCCATGCAACAGGAAGCTTTCTCGTAATCGGGGTCGCGCCGGGCTCATTCTCCAGAATGTTCGCCCCGTCGAGAGGTGCCCCTGGGTGTAAACGTGCTCCTGAGCGACTCAACGGTCCATCTCATAGCCTAGGCAACGACCCCAGCCCTCAAGCTCTCTCACAAGATCAGGACCCATTTTCCCAGGATCACCAAGAAGTGCCCCAGCGTGGGACGGGCCTCTTCAAGAGTTATCACAGCAGTCCATACAGGGAAATCGCAGGGACCCAAAAACACTCCACTCGGTGCTGACTGCACGGTGTCGGAAATCTCCCAGAGGGCCTCGGAGGAGTCAAGTAGCTCATGAAACGGCCCCAGAGAGCCTTGAGAGGGTCTCCAGATCTTCTGGGGAGAGCCCCAACACAGGCCGACAGGGCCTCAGCCCTGAAATGACTGCGCACGAGCCTGAAGACGGATGAAGAGGTGGAGGGGGAAGAGGAGGAGGAGGAGGAAGGGGAAGAGACACGATGTCTACAGGAAGAGGTGGAGCCCACCCCACCTGTCAACCCCTTTATCACATCATCATCATCATCATCATCATCATCATCATCATCATCATCATCATCATCATCATCATCATCATCATCATCATCATCATCATCATCATCATCATCATCATCATCATCATCATTATTGCTCATCGTCCTCCTCATCTTCGGAGTTGTCTGGGCTGGCTTGCCAGCTCGGCCTCCCCTTTCTCACTCGAGGCTGAACTGCTCGTGCCATGGCGCGACCGCCTTTCACCTTTCGTCTGGGGACCACGTAAGTTTCCCAAGAAGGCTCCTGGGTGAAACAAAGGCTTCCTCCTCATCTTCGCTGTTCCCTCCCGCCGTCCTCCCTATCCTCATTTCTCAGCCTTCGCACCCTCCGGCCTCCTCTCCTTCTCTTCCTGTCCCCCTCGTCTCTGCTCCCTCACCTCTGCTCCCTCCTCCGCTCCCTCCTCCTTGCCCCGACTTCCCCCGCCTTCCCTCCTACCCTGGGCCACAGAGAGCGGATGGGTGAGGGGCAGCCGCGCAGGGATACACCCATACGTGCACATTGATTATCAAAGTTGCCTGCGCCGAGTCACCGCCGACCCCTGCCTTTTTAAAGAGTCTATGTGGCCGAGCGTTGCGGCCGAGAGGGAGGAAAAAGGAAGAGGAGGGGGAGTAGAAGGAGGCCTGTTGGGAGCCTCCTGTGCATGGCGTGTCGCGCCGCTGGTTCTGGCCAACCACGATTCAGCCCGACACGCTATCCGCTTCGCGGTCCCAGGGTTTCCACGTCCCGAGCTTTTCCGAGCCTTCCGCCCCGCGGGGCGATGCGACACGCCATCCGCTCGCAGGGCATGGCGTGTCGCCGGGGCCGCCGCGGTGACACGCTAAGCAAAAGTTCCCGACCGTAGTTGCGGTAGCTCCGCGGCGTGTCGGCCGGCGGCGACCCCGCTGCGGGCGGTCAACGTTGAACGCCGCCGGCGACCCAGGCACGGTCGATGGCGAAGGAGCTGACGCCTCGGAGGCGGCCGATCGTTCCAGTTTGCGCGATCCCCGCAGTGTCAGAGACCAACGCTCGAAGCCGGACCGAGGGATAGGATCTGGGAGGGTACCCTCACGTTATTCGTCTGTGTGCCGCATGTCCTTGCGCATCCTTGGGGAGACGCAGGGCTGGACCTCAACGCTGTTTTGCTTGACTTCGGCTGGGTTTGGTTTCTCGTTTTGGCAGGGAGGTACAGGAAAGCAGGTCGGGCAAAACGAACAACAAAACGAAAGCAAAACGAAAAACAACGTTTAGGTCCAGCCTTGGGGGAGGGCACCCCCGAATGTTCTTCATTCAGGCCGTCGGAGGGCCCCACGTTCTTGCAGGATGTTTTGCTGTCCTGGGCCCAGCCGTGCTGCCCCTCGACCCAAGTCGGCGCCACCTGAACATACTGATGCTATGTGTGCGTCGCCCCCCCCCCAGGGGCGACGCGCGCACCGAGAAACCTTCTAGTGTAGCCGTCGTGGCGGGCGCTTTCTGGCCACACCGCTCGGGAAGCCATGTACTACACAAGATGGGCATACGATACGTCTGTGTCGGACGGGCGCCTCCAAGGAGGACGTGCTTCTGTTCGTCCCGCCAAGCGCGCGGCGCCCCGAGGCGGCCGCGGACGAGGACGAGCTCGCCGAGACCCAGTGCCGCGGCCCCGCGCGCGCGCCCCCCCCCCCCCTCCTCGCGGGCTGCCGCTCTCGCGCGCCCTTGCGCCCCGCGTGGCCTGCCGCGCCCTCTGTTGCGGAGGGGGGGGGGGCTGGCGGTGCGAGGTCTGGTGAGGAGGAGGACGAGGAGGAGGAGGAGGAAGAGGAGGAGGAGGAGGAAGAGGAGGAGGAGGAGAGAAGAGGAGGAGGAAGAGGAGAGGAGGAGGAGGAGGAGGAGGAGGAGGAGGGGGAGGAGGAGGGGCCTCCCTGTCCCTGTCGTCCACGCCCGGATGGCTTGTGGCTGCTGACCGCTGGGGGACCCGGTCGCGGAGGGCCTTGGCGATCCTTCGTCGCGTGCGCGTTCGCCGCCTGGCGGCCCCGCGCGCGCTCAAAAGTTTGTCGGCCTCCCCGATGGGGTCCGAGCACGTCGCTGCTGCTGCTGCGCCCCCCCCCCCTCCCTCCTCCTCCTCCTCCTCCTCCTCCTCCTCCGCCTCCTCCTCCTCCTCCTCCTCCTCCTCCTCCTCTCCTCCTCCTCCTCCTCCCTCCTCCTCCTCCTCCTCCCCCTCCTCCTCCTCCTCCTCCTCCTCCTCCTCCTCCTCCTCCTCCTCCTCCGTGGGGCCGGAGGACCGCGCCGCGTCGCCGATGCGTCGCCGATTCGGCGCGATGCGCAGCCCGATCCGCTCCGCGCGGGCGTCGCCGATGCACCGCCGACGTCGTCGATGCATCGGCGATGCATCGGCGATGCGTGGGCGATGCGGCGCGAGCCTCCGACCCTGTCCACTCGAAAGGCATCTGGGAGGCCTTTAGCATGTTGGCCCTGGTCGATGATTTTCCCAATCGGTGTTTGTACTTGGTGGCTTCTCATTTGTTTGGCAGGAATTGTGAGGGCGACCCGAGGTTTGTTTTTGTGGCCGCCCCGTGGCCGCACCGTGGCGCCCAGTGTAGATTGCATCACATATCTCGCACCATCGGACTTGCACGGCATAGCAGGCACCACGTATATTGCCCCATGGAGCGAGCACCACATAGTTTGCACCGTACATGTTGCACCCCTTAACTTGCAACATGCATCACATCACTTACGCCACGTATGTTGTACCACGTAGATTGTACACTATAGTGTGCACAACACAGGTAGCATCACGCATATGGTGCCGCATGGCTTGCATAACACAGCTTGCACAACGTAGCTCAGATATCCACAGCCGTACAACTGACTGTTTGGCGTTTATGCTGGTAACCAGTCTGTACTGAGCTCGTACAAGGGGTGATGCCGTGGTTGGCGTTTTGGTTGGCATGGCAGTGGTTTTTGGGCCAGATCTGGTGCCCTGGACCCTGGCGTTCCCCGCCCTTGCCCTTTGCGATCAACGCAAGCATGGAGAACGCGCGCCCGCGCGCACAGATCTGCCGCCTGCGGTCCTGGAAGTCTGGCTCCCCCGGCAGTGAACGCGAATAGTAGGGGAACGAACAATGACATAAACATGATAACTTCGAGGTCCGCGCCCCTGGCGCGCAGAGCGCGCCAGGGAGGGGGTCCAGCGCCGACCCAAAAAAATCCGCGCGAAACTCAGAGTCTTTTCCTAACAGCGAAGACTGATAGGTTTCTAGTTGGATCGAAAGAGAGCATCTTGACTCCCCAGGGGAGTCTGGGCGGATGCCGGGGAATCCGGAGGATCCGGGGACTCCCGAGAACATTATCCCAGGCCATATTTTGACTGCCCGGAGCCAACAGAACACCACTCCCACGCCACATGTTGAATGCCCGGAGCCAACTATAGGCCACTTCGTGTTCTTCGTGTTCCCAGCACAGCACTCCCAGGCCACATTTTGAATGCCTGGAGCCAACTGTAAGCCACTTTGTGTTCTTCGTGTTCCCAGAACACCACTCCCACGCCACATGTTGAATGCCCGGAGCCAACTGTAGGCCACTTCGTGTTCTTCGTGTTCCCAGAACACCATTCCCAGGCCACATGTTGAATGCCCAGAGCCAACTGTGGGCCACTTCGTGTTCTTCGTGTTCCCAGAACACCAGTCCTTCGTCAAGCCTCCCCGGTCCGTTCCCGGAGGTCGCCTCTCGAAGGCCAAGCCTTTTTGAAGCGCATGATTTCTCGGACCTCCTCGAGGCTCTGCGCAGCGAGGTAGATGCGCGCGTGATGGCGTGCGCTCGCATGGCGAGCTCGGTATACATTCTAATCCGATTCCCGCGCTTTCCGATCTGACATGTGGGCCAGTGGTCAGGTAATTGACGCGTTTTCTCTTCCCCCTCCACAGCAGGTTCGGACATCCGAGAGAAGTATGGTTATTCAATGTGCGGTTCTTCGATTCTAGGAGGCCCCCCCGCCCAGCAGCTGCCGACCTGTTTTTTCGATCCGCGGCCTCAGAGGCCCCGACCAGTTTTCCGCCCAGGGTCAATGTTTGTGATGCGGCCCCGGGACCCGAGAGCGGCCCCAGGAGGCACATCAGTGATCCAGGAAGGACATCCAGTTGAAAGATCGCATCGTCGGAGATCTGGGAAGCCCCCCTCCTCCCACGTGCGTAGCTCCCTTGTTCTCATTGCGCGCGGCACGATGGGGTCCCCTTTGGAGTTCCAGGTCTGCCATGGCACGCGTCGGCAGATAGAGCAGCACAACGGTGCAACGGGAAGGCACGGATGGGAGGGGTAGGATGGCAGATAGGGCGCGCGCGCGCGCCCAGCTTGCCCGCCCCCGTCCCCCCCCTCTCCTTTTCCCCACGTCTCCTCTCTCCTCCTCCTCCTCCTCCTCCTCCTCCTCCTCCTCCTCCTCCTCCTCCTCCTCCTCCTCCTCCTCCTCCCATTCCTGCCTCCCCCTTCTTTTCCCCGCTCCTGCTGCTGCCCGCGGCGCTCGAGACACAGAGTCGCATGATTCTCTCTTACGCACCGGTGTAACAAACGAGAGAGAGAGAGGGACAACATAGAAAAAAACAATACCACACTATCACTAAAACAACTATTCACACTTTTAATAACAATCGCAGTAGTAGTACTAGTACTAGGTATCGCATTAATACGTGCTACTACGCATCATCATCCGAACATCTTGATTGGTAGCAGCATCACTTGAACTTAATCATACTAGCATCAAGAATGCTACAAGTGGTCCTAATAAGACGGATCACAGTAATTATCCCAGTGCGACCCTACCTAGGAGTTGGAGCCCATAGGAAAGCAGCATTAGTAGTAACAGTAAAGCTAAGCTAAAGCTAAGCTAAATCTAAGCTAAAGCTAAGCTAAAGCTAAGCTAAAGCTAAGCTGAAGCTAAGCTGAAGCTAAGCTAACGCTAAGCTAAAGCTAAGCTAACACTAAGCTAAAGCTACGCTACAGCTAAGCTGAAGCTAAGCTAAATCTAAGCTAAAGCTAAGCTAAAGCTAAGCTAACACTAAGCTAAAGCTAAAGCTAAAGCTAAGCTAAAGCTAAGCTAATGCTAAGCTAAAGTTGAGCTAAAGCTAAGCTGAAGCTAAGCGAAAGCTAAGCTAAGGCTAAGCAGCAGCTAAGCTAAATCTAAGCTAAAGCTAAGCTAAAGCTAAGCTGAAGCTAAGCTAAAGCTAAGCTACAGCCGAGCTAAAGCTAAGCTAAATCTAAGCTAAAGCTAAGCTAACACTAAGCTAAAGCTAAGCTAACACTAAGCTGAAGCTAAGCTAAAGCTGAGCTGAAGCTAAGCTAAATCTAAGCTAACACTAAGCTGAAGCTAAGCTGAAGCTAAGCTAAAGCTAAGCTTTAGCTAAGCTAAAGCTAAGCTAAAGCTAAGCTAAGGCTAATCTAACACTAAGCTAACGCTAAGCTAAAGCTAAGCTGAAGCTAAGCTAAAGCACAGCTAAATCTAAGCTAAAGCTAAGCTAACACTAAGCTGAAGCTAAGCTAAAGCTAAGCTAATGCTAAGCTAAATCTAAGGTAACAATAAGCTAAAGGCTAAAGCTAAGCTAAAGCTAAGCTAAAGCTGAAGCTAAAGCTAAAGCTAAGCTAATGCTAAAGCTAAGGCTAAAGCTCCCAGGGGACTGGGGGAACCGCGGGGCGGGGACTGGGGGAACCGCCCGGGGCGGTTAGCATTGCCCGGCCCCTTAAGCAAAGAGAGTAAGAACCCTTCTAGGCAGAGCCTAGGTAGGGAAAAACAACGATTATAATCATGGTCGGACTAATCACGAGAGTTCCCCCCCGCCCCTCAACCACCCACCCGCTATTCGGCGATTCGGCGCCTCACCTCCCTCCTCTTCCTCCTCCTCCTCCTCCTCCTCCTCCTCCTCCTCCTCCTCCTCTCCTCCTCCTCCTCCTCCTCCTCCTCCCTCCCCCTGCCTCCTCCTCCTCCTCCTCCTCCTTCTCCTCCTCCTCCTGCTCCTCCTCCTCCTCCTCCTCCTCCGTCGCTCGTCGCTTGCTCCCCGCTCCTGCCTGCTCCCGCCTGCTCCCGCCCGCCTGCTGGCTCTCCCCGCCGCCTCGCAGGTGCTTCGCGCCGAGCCAGTCGGCCCCCGCCGCGCGCGCGGCGAACGGCACGCCGCGGGCGAGGTTCTCCCCCGCGGGCGGCGGCGGGGGGGGGAGGAGGGGGGGGTATGGGCGACTAGGAAGGGATACCGGTATCCAACCTCATACCCCTCCTCACTCCTCTCTCTTTCCGCCTCCTCCTCCTCCTCCTCCATCCTCGTCGTCGTTGTCCTCCTCCTCCTCTTCCTCACCCATCGCACCTCTCCTCATTCCATCAACTTCCTCCTCCCTGGACCTGGGGGGGTCAGTGGAACCGCGGACGCCTCTCCAGGAGATCTCAGGGCTGTCGGGATTCCTTGTGCGGTTTTCGAATATCTGGTTGCTCAGATTTCGGATTCTCTGGCCCTTTGGAATTTTGAAATCATCGGAATTGTCGAAATTTTCGAAATTTTCAATGTGTTCGGAGTATTCGAAATTTTCGAAAATCGAAATTTTCAAAATTCTGAGGGTTTGGAGTTTTCGGGGATCCTGGTCGCCTGGCTTCTCGGATTCTTTGGACCCTGGGAACTTTTGAAAATTTCGAAGTTGTCAAAATGTTGAAAGTGTTTTGGAATTTTCGAAATTCTCGCAATCAGAATTCTCAGAATTCTGAGGGTTCGGAGTTTTCGGGGGTCCTGGTCGCCTGGCTTCTCGGATTCTTTAGCCCCTTGGAACTTTTTGAAAATTTAGGATTTTTTGAAATTGTCGAAAGTTTCAATGTGTTTGGAATTTTCGAAATTTTAGAAAAATATCGAAGTGTTCAAAATTCTGAGGGTTTGGACTTTTCGGGGATCCTGCTCGCCTGGCTTCTCAGATTCTCTGGCCCCTGGGAATTTTGAAAACTTCATTTTTTGTTGAAATGTTTAAAGTGTTTGGAATTTTCAGAATTTTCGAAAAATCGAAATTCTCAAAAATCTGAGGGTTTGGAGTTTTCGGGGGTGCTGGTCGCCTGGCTTCTCGGATTCTTTGGCCTCTGGGAATTTTGAAAATTTCGAAATTATCGAAATTTTCAAAGTGTTTGTAATTTTCGTTTTTTTCCTTTTGAAGGAATCGAAAGTTTCAACATTCTGAGGTTTGGAGTTTTCGGGGGTCCTGGTCGCCTGGCTTCTCGGATTCTCTGGCCACTGGGAACTGTGAACAATTTGAAATTTTCGAATTTTTCGACATGTTCGAAGTGTTTGGATTTCTTTTTAAATTTGCGAAAAAAATTGACGTCTTCAAAATTCTGAGGGTTGGTAGTTTTCGGGGTTCCTGATTTCCTGAAGTACTAGAGCCTACGGAAGTTTGTGGAACTGTATGGTTTTCTTCAATTCTTAACGCTTCGCGTATCCCCACCAGCCGTCGTGAGCCGCCTGATCCGCGGCCTTGCGCGCGTTAGGTAATTTAGTCGCGTCCGCGGCCCGTTCGCGACCTTCCGCCGCTGGCGCTTCCGCCTGCGGCTGTAAAACAAAAGTATCCCCACCAGCCCATAATACACCAGGCACTCGAACGAAGAGCGCCGATGTTCGGCAGCTGTTCTCCTCCCCTCTTCCTCCTTCTCCTCCGCCTTCTCCTCCTCCTCCTCTCCTCCTCCTCCTCCCTCTCCTCCTCCTCCTCCTCCTCCTCCTCCTCCTCATCCTCCTCCTCCTCCTCCGCCTCTTCCTCCTCCCTGGTGGCGTACTGGAAGTGTCTTCGAACGTTTTGGTGGGCTCTTGGGCCTTGCGGGCGGGCGGGCGGCGCTCCGCCCGCCCGCGCGCAGGGCCCAAGAGGGGGTCCAAGACGTCTCTCGGAGCCATCTTGGAGGAGATCGATCAACGAAGGGGGGTTCCTAAATTTCAGCCCCCCCCTCAGGAGCCACGATCCTCGTGAGGGGTGTCGAATTTTAGCCCTCCCAGGGGTCGATCTTGGACGCTCTGACCGATCGCGGCCCCCCCTGTCCAGGTCAGTGGGGAGGGGGTAGGGGGAGGGGTAAACCCCTCCCCGAAGGGGAAGAAGGAGGGGTGGAAGAGGAAACGCTCTAAACCACCGGCGCCCAGAGGGCTGGTGGGACTTCTTGGGAAGCTATTTTGGGAGGCTTGGGCTCCTCTTGGACCCGTCTGGGCGCCCTTGAAGGCCCTGCTGGGGCGCTCTTGGGGCAATCTTGGAGGACATCGGTCAAGGAAGTAGGGCTCCTTAATTAGAGCCCCCCCCCAGGAACTCCAAAAATCGTCTCCTGTACCGCTCTTGGGGCGCTCTTCGGCGCTCTTGGCGCCGTCATGGGGCTTTCTTGGGCCCTTTCTTGGAGCTATCTTGAGCCATCTTGGAGCCATCTTGACGCCTCTGATGTGCATCGCAAGCGAAAAAGTGAGAACACCAAAAACATTGATTTTCCCTAGGGTTTTGAAGCATTTTGGCCTCTTGGATGCATCCTAATGATGCTCTTGTGGGCACTTGGAACCGTCTTGGAGAGTTCTTGGAACGTCTTGGAACATCATGGGGACCATCTTGAGGCATCTTGCGCTATCTTGAGCCATCTTGGAGGGTATCTTGGGCTCCCTGAGGCCCTCTTGGAGCCGTCTTGGGCCATCTTGGGCGCTCCAACGCGCCGCGGAACCCCCTGTCCAGGTCAGTGGGGAGGGGGTAGGGGGAGGGGTAAACCCCTCCACGAAGGGGAAGAGGGAGGGGTGGAAGAGGAAACTCGTTAAACCACCGACGCCCAGAGGGCTGGTGGGATTTCGGTAGATCTTGGAACCTCCTGGAGCCGTCTGGGACCCCCTGAGACTTCCTCGGTCCTCCTGTAGCCTCCGGGGAGGGGAGGGGAGTGGGGAGCAGAGGAGTAGGAGGACGCCCTCGCAGCATTGAGCAGAAGGCCACAGGATACTTCAGGATACGACAGGAGGTCTAAAGGTAAAGCCAAAGTATGCCTCAGGATTCCGGGGCTTCTGGAGATCGGAGAATCGAGGGCCCAGGGTTTTTCAAACCACCGCGGCGGCTAAAACGCGCAAGGGCGCACTTTTTGATAAAAAGTGTTTCGGTGCGTGGCCGAATATTTTGATGATTCTGGAGGCCTCTTGAGGGCTTCCTTGGGGGGCTCCGAGGGCACTTGGAGCCGTCCTAGGGCGATCTTGGGAGCTCTTGGATGCATGTTGATAGCTATCTTGAACCATTTTGGGCTATCGCGCGCGATCTTGGAGGTCATCTTGGGCTTTCTGGGACCCTCTGAGAGCCATCTTGGGCCATCTTGGGCGCCCTGACCGCTCGCGGCACCCTCCCTCCACGCCCCGGGGAGGGAGGAGAGAGGGGGGGGACCCATCCCCGAAGGTGAAGAAGGGAGCTTAGCAGAACAAGCTCTTGAGACCACTCACGCCCTCAAGGGCTGGTGGGATTCACTTGTACTTTTAACTCTAGCAGATCACAACGCGGGACATGGTATGTCACTCTTGGGCAGTAAGCATCGTCATCGCGGTAGTCGTCGATGCTGCGCTGTTTGACCCTTGTGCGTCGATGCTGCATTGTTGGGCCTCTCTCTGTCTGCGACAGGTAGGGGGATGAAGCGCTGTTTCTGTCAAGTGTCGGCTTCTGCCTTAGCACCGCGCACGCCTCAGGATGTCCTTGTGCTTCATGGGGGTCAGCTCCCATGCAAACAATGCGCATGTTTTAGAGGTTCTCGCTCCAAGGCGGCCCCAGGGGCATCCCAAAAGGACCCAGATTGAAATGCAGTTTTACTTAGATCTCCCATTATTATTTAAATTTATTTTGCAGCACACCGAGGAGGTGCTCCGTATACCCCCTGGGGGTCCAAGGCTTTTCCCAGAACGCTCAGAAGACTCCAAGAGGTTGCACGCGCACTGCTGTTGTTTCTCTCAAGAGAAGGAGGTCTATAGATCTACTGAGGCCGGCCTGGCAGTTGTCGTCGTCGTCGTCGCTGCCGCCGTCGTCGTCGCCGCCGTCGTCGTCCTCGTCCTCGTCCTTATCGTCGTCGTCGTCGTCGTCGTGGTCGCCGTCGTCGCGGTCGTCACCGCCGCCGTCGTCGTCGTCATCGTCGTCGTCGTCGGCGGCGGCGGCGACGACGGCGACGGCGGCGACGGCGACGGCGACGGCGATTGCGCAGCCCGGGGCCAATTTGGGCCGTCTTGCAGCGCCTTGGAAGCCTTTGGCCGTCTTGGAGCTATCTTGGTGGCCTCCTGGGACCCTCTGCGCACTGTTGCTTTTGAGTACACACGCACACATAATCATACATACTTTTTTACCTAACAGCTTTTGCTGATAGGTTTCTAGTGGTCTCAAAAGAGAGCATCTGGACTCCACAGGGGGGTCTGGGCGGGTGCCGGGGAGGAGAGCCGGGAATCGTTTTTCGCCAACAGTCACACACTTCGTGCTCTTCGACCTCCCAGAACTCCATTCCCGGGGCACATTCTGGAGAACCGGGAACAGAGCCGGGCTCGCTTTTCGTCAACGGTCACACACTTCGTGCTCTTCGGCCTCCCAGAACTCCATTCCCGGGCTACATTTTGAGTGCCCGGAGCCAACTGTAGGCCACTTCGTGCTCTTCGAGTTTCCAGAACTCCATTCCCGGGCCACATTTTCGATGCCCGGAGCCAACTGTAGGCCACTTTGTGCTCTTCGATTTCCCAGAACTCCATTCCCGGGCCACATTTTGGATGCCCGGAGCCAACTGTAGGCCACGTCGTGCTCTTCAAGTTCCCAGAACTCCATTCCTGGGCATGATTTTGAATGCCCGGAGCCAACTGTAGGCCACTTCGTGTTCTTCTAGTTCCCAGAACTCCACTCCTGGGCCGCATTTTGAATGCTGAGGCAGGCTGATGCTGCGGCCGAGGCAGGCTGAGGCTGAGGCAGGCTGAGGCTGAGGCCGAGGCTGAAGGCAGACTGAGGCTGAGGCTGAAGCAGACTGAGGCTGAGGCTGAGGCAGGCTGAGGCTGAGGCTGCAGGCTGATGCTGAGGCAGGCTGAGGCTGAGGCTGAGGCTGATGCAGGCTGAGGCTGAGGCAGGCTGAGGCTGAGGCCGAGGCTGAAGGCAGACTGAGGCTGAGGCTGAAGCAGGCTGAGGCTGAGGCTGAGGCAGGCTGA